ACACGCGTACAAAACTCATGAGTTGGTTGGTGTATAATCTATTTCGGACAAATTATTTTTATCTAGATAAAAATTTCTATGATTTTGACAGATGGGATCGCTGCACATTTGAATCGGCCGTTATGGATTCTCGATCAAGAGTTAAGTTTAAGTCTCATGTCGGTTCGTCGGTGATATAACGTGTGTGTGTAAAACAAAAGAAAGTATTTGTAATGGCGAACGTTATAGTTTATTTCGCAGTGCTGTGATAAATATTCGATTAATTAAGTGTGAAATTGTGCTTGTGCCGTGATAGACTTGATCCTACGCGTGACCCGTAGTGATCATTTAGTAGATAAGCAGGAGAACGGTTGCTGCTGCAGCTGGTTCTTGTTCAATTTGTGTTTTTTTTTCCTTCGCCCGGCATGCTATTGGCACCCTTTAGTAAACTGTAGCATTGTAAATTTCTGCTTTCGTTCGTTTTTACTTGTGTCTCTGTAGTGTTGCATGTAAAGTTTATGTGTATAGGTGGATAGATATGGCAGAGTGCGCAATATGTAATTGACTTCGTTATTTGATGTTTTCAACTTAATAGGCGATTAGGCCAAAGTAGTTCGCTACCCTATCTGATTTATTTATAAGTCCTCATTTTCAAGTTGATGAAGTTGAGCATGCAGGTTTTTATGCAATGCAATATTCAGAAGTTAGCTTTTATACATGACTGGTGTCCGCTTTAGAAAAATATAGTGTACAAATTTGAACAAAACCACAGCTTACAATAAAAAAAAAATGCATATTTTGTTTCAAAATAGTTAAAAGTACGCCTAAATAGAGGAAATTACCATCAGTTTTTCACATAAAATCATTGTTATGATACTAAAGCGTTCATTTTAACTAAATCTGACTTAAGATTCAGATTCAGCGATCCGAAATTCAGTAAAATAAATAATTTTGTCGAACACTGCACCAGAATTATTGCTAATTCGGATAGGATTTTTAGGAACAGCTGAGAGTTGCATATGTTGTCAAGGTCATGGTGAGAAACGAAAACTGAACGGTGTAGAGATCAACTTCACTCCAATTATCAACTTAAAACCGTTTGACGGTTACAAAAGTTCTTAATGACATCCGAAGGTACTGAACCGATTCAGAAAAGTTTGGAATCACTTCGTAACATACTGAGTCATTTCAATATCGCACATACTGACTGATTCAATATCGCAAAGGAACTTGGGTTTGAATCCACGGTATTGTGCTCAGTATTCAAAATCGGTCGCCACTAGGCCACCGAGCTCCATTAATTACAAAAAAAAAATTACGATCACCAATTACGATAACAACTGCTCTTGAGAAGGATTTGTTTAGATTTTCGATCAGCACTTCTTTCCTAAAACTCGAATATTATTTCTTTTAAATACTCATTCCTCCAACCGAATTTCGCTTTTTCTCATATTAAGAAACAAATGCGATTTAGCGTTAGTGTTAGTGTCAGCGTTGTTACGATAAACTTCATAGATTGGACATTAGTGACACTCACGTTTAAAAAATTCTCAGTCAGGCAGTCAGTCAGTCAGGCTTTCAGATATAAATTCGCTCAACAATTTTCAGTGGCTTCACAGCGATATAAATGTGAAAAAGCTTAGGGGTTCACCTCTTTGTTCACCTTTTTTAACCTTCTCATATTCACAAACATTCCAAGCGATCAAGAGTTCATGAATAATCAGCTAAGGCTGTAGGACGAAAGGTTGAAGCACGTAAGGTCGAAGGACGAAATGTCGAAGGGACGAAAGGTCGTAAGGTCGAAGGTCGTAAGGTCGAAGGTCTTAAGGTCGAAGGTAGTAAGGACGAAAGGCCGTAAGGTCAAAGCACGAAAGGCCGAAAGAACGAAAGGTCGACCTTTTGTCATAGATTTTTAGTATGCATATCTCATCAGTTTGATTTTGTTAATTTTATTTTTATTTTTTGTACATACCTTTTAGTTCAAATGGTAGCTGTATCCATTTTGCACCAGCATGGGATTTCCCTTGTTTGTATGCAATATTTCCACCTCTGGATCGGTGCTCACGTGAGGTGCATCTTGACCATCCATGTCGATGTCTATAGTTTGCTCATCCCGATGCTTGTCAGCCGCTTCGGGTTCTGAACTGTTTGGGATTTCATCATCCGGGTCGATGTCCACAGCGCACTCATGCTGATGTTCGTCAGCATCTTCGGGTTCTGCACACAGAGATGTTCGTCACTCGCTTCGGGTTCTGAGCTGGTCGAAATTTCCACATCCGGGTCGATGTGCACAGGGCGTTTGCATTGATGTTCAGCACTTTGAGTGTCAAATTTATTTCATTCACGTTAACAAACCCAAACCTGCTATGACAATTCATATTGTTTAGATATTTTTACACCGTTCAAGACGTATGTGTTCCACTATATCGTTGGCCACAATTCATAAAACAAATTATTGTATCAAACACATTCAAATAATCAGAAAGGATTAAGCTTCTAACGTTTTTGGGTGAATGGATATCGTCATAATTATGGATGGCTAGAGTTTATGTTAAGGATATGTTAAGTATGAGAAAGAAGTCTTAAATTTATTCAAGTACCTGCAGCGCGAAGAAGTACAACGTAAATATTTTTCGTATTGTGTTACTCACAAGCAGAACAAGTATTTAGATAAATCAAGAAGAGATATTCAAGACAACTAATTATACCTGCATATATCATGAAGAAGAACTTAAATCGACAAATATTAGAGATGACTAATATATATTAAAATAAAATTGTTGTTTTTTCAATCAACTGATTATTTAAAAAAAAAAACTTCAACATATTCAATGGATAGGGCAACAATTTTCATACACAAAAAACTACTCATGTTTAAAGAAGGAGTCAACTTTAAGAGATATTAACCCATTTTGGGCATAATAAGATGGATTGATAATTCGCTTTTATCTACCAACGTACTGCTCATGTCAACACCAAAAGAGTGAGCATAATCCGATGGATTAGTCATTTGCCTATATCTATCAAAGAATTGCTTCTGTTTCAAAGAAGGAGACAGCTTTACGATGGACAATAGCATTCAATTGTACCACATCGATTTTTCAAATTGCGCGGATATATGTCATTTTCATATTCGTCCCTTCAACCTTTCGTCCCTTCGACCTTTTGTCCCTTCGACCTTTCGTCTCTTCGACCTTTCGTCCCTTCGACCTTTCGTCCCTTCGACCTTTCGTCCCTTCGACCTTTCGTCTCTTCGAACTTTCAGGGAATTGAAAGATGAAGTGACTTTCATAGATATAATACTAGAAACGCGGTTGAAATAAGAACACCACATTTCTTGGCTTGTGCTTCACAAAATTCATTATATTTTAAGGGAATAAATGTTTTCAATTCGATGCCTAGACATATCAAACGCTCAGCAACACATACAGAATTCTAAAGACACTGCATTTCACACGTTAAATCTGTTGTTTGAACAGCTATCCAGTGATTTTTTTTTTAATGAATTGACAAATTATGTATCTTGACGAAGTTATCTATAACGGATTATTTTGTATTGATAGCTGTCATAATGACTTTTTAATAATTATCGTAGCACTGCAAAAACTATTTTTGTACGCCACGATTGTGATCATGGATTTTTAATATTTGATTTAATAGTAGTAGATTAATAACAAAAACTGTAGTCTACAAAGGTTTAAATGGCGCGTATTTTGGATACAGAGGACTGAATTTAAAATGAATTTAAAAAAAAAATGCAATTTTGTAGCTTATTCGGAAAAAATCTTGAGTTAGTAGGAGTTTTCTGGCAAATGTTGGGGGTTCGTGAGCATTCCTGACATTGCTGAAAATTTTGAAAGCATCAGCTTGCGGTGCTGCTAGTGTAATTGGATGCTTTGTTGATTGTTAATTAACTCTTGATCGCTTGTAATACTTATGAATATTTTAGGTGGACAAAAAGGCGAACTAAGAGGTGGACGCCTGAGCTTTTCCTTATTTATATCGCTGTGAAGCAACTGTAAACTCTAGAGGGAATTTATATCTGTAACTGTAACCAGTTCGATTTTGTTTGCAAACCTGGTTAAATTTTCATATTTAATTATCTTAAAGATAAGTCGTCCAGCTCAAACTTTGTAGGGGTAAGAGGTGGGACCATCTTCATCATCATTTGTGTGAATTTAAAATCTAACTCCCAGTGACTCACAGTGGCATTATGGATAGAATCTTCCTGCAACCATATTTTATATAAATAATTGCAAGAAGCTGAAATCCGGGAGTTAGAAGGTGACAGCTCTATCGCAACTCCAAAAGCCCATTTTAAAGACGCAAGCATTCCGAAGCTATTGTCGTATACGATAAGCCCCACTCCAATACATTTCACTGTGGGAATCATTAATATTGTACTGGGACTTTCAATCAAGTTGTATTGCTTGATTGAACCGTATTTAATGAATTGGGAATGTTTGTAGTATTACTAGTACTAGGAAATTAAGTATAACAATATTATAAAGGACAAAATGGAACGTACTCACCAAATCTGGCCCAGTGAACCCAACAAGCTGGCCTGATGTGTTAGAGGGGAAGTCGCAATTGTAGACGGTTCGCTTCACAGGGTAATCCTGTTTGTGGTAGAGCGTGCTCAGAATGTCCCGAATGTAGTCTTGAAACACCTCTTGGCCGTCCGACACAATCCGCACACTGTGGAACTCGATTCAGGAAATTCAAATATCCGTGCGTTACCAATATCGCTTTAAAATCCGGAACAACGCAAAATACAAAAATTTGACGGGAGGAAAATGTTTTGCTTCCATCTACAAGCACAGCACCCTTCGATCATAGTAAAACGCGCATCAGAAAATTACAAGCCAAGACAATACTTCCCATCAGACGGTCAGTCTCTCTTCCTTATCATCATTGTGTGTGTTAGTACCTCTCGCTCTTGTCTCGTTTGAATTTTCTCTCCTATCTTTCATCCATCCCACTTCCCGAGACTACTCCCGACTCCAGCAGGACGTCCTTCGCTCTCGCAGCATCAGTTCTCCTTCAGCCTTCGATTCGGTAACGTGCCTGTTTCGCGCCTTCATTCTCATCGATTCGTTCTGTTGTGTACTCCAGTGTTGAGTGATTATTTTTTACAGCATTTCCCTGTTTCCCAGTGCCAAGGAAAGTGAGAGTTTCGGTGTGCGTTGATTTGCTTTGCTGACGACGACACGGTGGGGGACCTCCCGGTGCGTGCGTGCTAGTTCGTTCGTTCTTTTTCGTTCTACTTTCCAGGGCCAGTTTAGAAAACTTAAAGAGTGAGTTTTGCGGGTGGCTGCCTAGTGTTCTGCTCCAGGGTTCAGCAATTATGAGGCTTCTGCAATGGGATTCGCTAATAATTTGCCTGATTGTGGCCGCTGTGAATATGTGTAAGTGTAACCATGGTGATAACTGGCATCCTGCCTGGCTGGTACGATGCTGTGGCACGCTGCCCAATTTTGGTTCTATCTGAAAAATATGTATACGAATAAGTGATGAAAAAGCGGCGCACGGAGGCTACTTTGATGAATGAAATGATGTAGTGACCGGTATGAAGGAGATTCGAACCCCTCGTAGCGAAAAATTTCGTGTGTTTCGTTGATAAGAAGGGGGATTGCGACACGCGTCCCGATGCGTATCGTGGCGATTGTTTTAATTTGTTTATAATACGCGCAGTTATCTGCTACCGGCAGGGTCGGCGTAGATCAGAAGAATACTTGTGTGGGGATGATGAAATCTATACTGAATAAATATTTGTTCTGATTTAGGTGCAGCGCAGCAGCAGGCACCTCCGACCATCACATCCATCAGTCCGGAACAGATTAAGGATATTGGAGATACCGTGGCGCTGGATTGCGATATTGACAACGTGGGCAAGTTTACGGTTGGTTGGCAGAAGAGCAATCGGGAGCGGTCGCAGAATGTCAATACCATCTCCTTGGGTCCAACGTTGGCCGTGGCCGAAGAGAGGTTCGAGCTCAGTGATGATAAAGAGAACAATACCATGAAGTACAGATTGACGGTAGGTGAATTGCAATTTTCAGTCGTGCTCGAATGTCAAGAGCAACTCATCAATTATGCATTTTAATAACTCCATTAGAATGAGCTGGCACATGCATATTCTCCCCTAGAGTAAATGTTATTGCCCAAATCCCTACGGGACCCATTCCGACGCACAGACAGGAATCTAATTAACAACCCTTTTGCAATGGCAAATTCTCCCCTTTGGTTTTCAGATCAACGACATCGTCAATACGGATGCCGGTCTGTACGAGTGCCAGATTCAGGTGAACAGCACCAACAAGGTGACGGCTACGGTGGAACTTCAGGTCCGTCATCCACCAATTTTAAAGGACAATCTAAGGGCTACCACTGTTACCAAGGCAGAAGGCGAAGATGTCAAACTGACCTGCTCGGCTGAGGGATATCCACGACCGTCGATCTCCTGGAAGAGGGAATACGGTGCCATTCTACCGATCGGTGGACAGAGCTTTGCTGGTAACGAGCTGTCGTTGTCTTCGTTGGTCAAGGATGATCGTGGTACATACTTTTGCATTGCGGATAATGGCGTTGGAAAACCAGACTCCAGGACGATTAACCTTGAGGTGGAATTTGGCCCGGTAATCTCCGTTCCACGGCCGAAAATAGCCCAAGCAACCGAGTACGATATTGAACTGGAATGCGTTGTGCAAGCCTTTCCGTCACCTTCGATTTCCTGGTTCAAAAATGGACAGCAGATTCATAACGGTGGACCTTATGGGTATGTCAACACCGGAAACTTCTCTTGCATAATTTCTACAATTTTGGTTTTGTTACCAGCATTACCCAAACCGGTCAACCGGATGACGTAACGACTTCCACGGTGAAGATCACCTCAGTCGAAAGCTCACACTACGGAGACTACCTCTGCAAGGCTTCCAACAAAGTAGGCCACGACGAAGCAAGGCTGAATCTCTATGGTATGATTTCTACATTTCACACTTGATTTAAATTTTGTTATAATTTCACCTTTATTTACTTATTAATTTTAGAATCGGTTATTCCTGTTCCCTATTGAAGTTTTTAGTTGATTTTAGTATTCTTAGTTCAATCAATCTTAGGTTGAGTTTTGTTTCCTTGAACACTTTGAAAGGTATGTGTCCTTTTGAAAACTACTTTCCAAAAAACAATAAACAAATTTTCTTGCAGAACAACGCATTCCCAACATCAACTACTCCGGTCTGAAGTGGTCCAGCTCGGGGCACGTTCTCATGAGCCATCTAGGTATCCTAATGGTAACGGTACTGCTGGCAACGCTGTTGTGAATAAGAAGGAGAAGCTAAGTGCAACTGCCAATTTCAAACAAATCAAGCAGAGACGAAACCTACCATCCAGCCAAATGAAACATTAAGAGAAAACGAAAAGTTCAAATACAGCGCACTTAGAAGGCCCATTCCCAGGAACTGTAACCCACTAAGAAAACGAATCAAATTATTTGCATTTTATACAGAAGACATATCTCTACGAGGAAGGATACCTACTTACCCAGAATTGAATCTAAAAATGTCCATATTCGTTAGGCATAGTTTAGGTAGAAAGACGATTACGACTGTTTTTCGGAGGAAACCTGTACAAATGAAACCGAATCTAGAAATTATGGCAAAACAAAAACCTGACAAAAAATAAAAAAATAATAATGACCTGGTAGATCATGATACAAAGAGGAAAATACTCGTTTTAGTGTTAGGCAAAACATATTTCGGAAAACGTGTGCGAATAAAGACATAGAATCGTAAGCGTTCGTGTTTGTTGTTTAAATGGAAAATCCTTTCCTCTTCTGACGCAAAACCAAATGGCATGAACATCAAATACAAAATACGACAAATGTAATGCCAAGTTATTCCAGAGTACATATACATTTTCGAATAAAACCTTAAGTCTCAGTGCATTAAAACAAAAACAAACTAAAACACTGGCCAGACCGACCACCCACGAAACATTTTTGGAATTCTGAAAATTCCATAGACCATGATTTGGATTTAAAACCTCTATAAAACTTGTAATGTTACTTGGGCAGTTATGATATGATATAAGCCTATCTTGATGAAATGTGTCTTGTCGATAATTATTATAACATACTTTAACTATTGGGTTTGTATTACCCTGGATACCCCTCACCATCCCTCTCCAATGGGGGTGTTTGGTAAAGAGAGATGATCAACCCGATGTGTACTTTCCTCAACGTTGTCCTTGCTCGCTTTCTACTCTCTATATAAAATTTTCACACTGCCGTACTCCAGTGATGGGTAACTGAACCAACCGGTGCGCACCGTGTGCTGGTTCGTGTTCAAAAAATACTCCTGTGTTTATGTAAGCGTGTACCCTGGTTCGGTTGAGTTTTAGTGTACCAGTGTGTTCTAAATCAAAACCGTGTGCCGGTTTTCGAGTTGATGTTCAGAACCGCAGCTTGAAAACCGAAAACCGGTGTGCTAGAATTTTGGTTTTGGTACACGAGATATAAACCATGTGCAGGGTTCAATTATATGTTACCAAAACCGGGTATACCGTTCTTGGTTCGGAACATTGGCAAGAATTAAATAGCAGTGCTCCCAAAAAGGTGAGTAAAATATTTGTACCAAGCGACAGTTATATTTTGACAGTAATATTTTGATAGACAATATTGGTAGCGAAGAAACTAGAAATCATTTTGAAGTCTGACAAATACCCTTCGATATGGGTATTTTTGGAGTCCGCTTGACGCCTATAGTCTGGAAATCGATAACCGATACCTTCTTGAAATCCAGAAGGCGGCATCCTGTTGCAGATAAACTGAGAAATCCTGTAAAATACCCTTCGATATGGGTATTTCTGGAATCGGGGTGACGTATAAATACCGGAAATCAATGTCTGACGCCATTTTGAAATCCAAGATGGCGGCTTACGGTTGTAGGAAAACTGGGAAATACTAGCAAATACCCTTCAATATGGGTATTTTTGGAATCTGAATGACATATAAAGACCGGAAATCAATGTCTGACGGCATCTTGAAATCCAAGATGGCGGCTTCCGGTTATAGAAAAACTGGAAAATAATGTCAAATATCCTTCAATATGGGTATTTTTGGAATCGGGATGACATATAAAGACCAGAAATCAATGTCTGACGCTATCTTGAAATCCAAGATGGCGGCTTCTGGTTGTAGAAAAACTGGGAAATACTAGCAAATACCCTTCAATATGGGTATTTTTGGAATCGTGATGACGTATAAAGACCGGAAATCAATGTATGACACCATCTTGAAATTCAAGATGGCGGCTTCCGGTTGTAGTAAAACTGGGAAATACTAGCAAATTCCCTTCAACATGGGTCAAATACCCTACAATTTAGGTATTTTCGGAACCAAGAAGACGTGTAGATGCCGAAAATGAATGTCCGTTGCCGTTTTGGAATCTAATATGGTGGCCATTGGGTTAAAAAAATGGCAAAAACCCTACAATATGGGTATTTTTGAAATAGGGACGACGTGTAGATGCCGAAAATTGATGTCCGAAGCCATTATGGAATCCCCGATGCCGACCATATCGTATAATATTTTACACTTTTTCTAAAACAGGTGGTCACTTAGATTTTTTTGACGATATTAGCACCATCGAGTAGTTCAGCATTTAATTTTGCTGGATCTCAGTGAAAACTTGCCGAGATTGAGCTAAAAAACGGGAATTTTGTTGAGGTCTTCGCTAACAAACCGAAATTTCTCGGTAAAAAATCTAAACGCTTATACAAAAATACCTATATTGTAGGGTATTTGACACATTTTGAAACCAATGGCTTCCAACTTGGGTTCCAAAATTGCGTCGTTTCCCAGTTTTTCTATAAAGGGAAGCCGCCATCATGGATTTAAAAATGGCATGAGACATTGATTTCCGGTATTTATACGTCATCCTGATTTCAAAAATACGCATAGTGAAGGATATTTGGCATTATTTCCCAGTTTTAATCTAACCAGAAGCCGCCATCTTGGATTTTAAAATGGCGTCAGACATTGATTTCCGGTATTTATACGTCATCCAGATTCCAAAAATACCCATATTGAAGGATGTTTGGCATTATTTCCCAGTTTTTCTATAAAGGGAAGCCACCATCTTGGATTTAAAAATGGCGTCAGACATTGATTTCCGGTATATATACGTTATCCTGATTCCAAAAATACCCATATTGGAGGATATTTGGCATTATTTCCCAGTTTTTATCTAACCAGAAACCGCCATCTTGGATTTCAAAATGGCGTCAGACATTGATTTCCGGTCTCAAGACGTCATCCTGATTCCAAAAATACCCATATTGAAGGATATTTGGCATTATTTCCTAGTTTTTATATAACCGGAAGCCACCATCTTGGATTTTTAAATAGCGTCAGACCTTGATTTCCGGTATTTATACGTCATCCTGATTTCAAAAATACCCATAGTGAAGGATATTTGGCGTTATATCCCAGTTTTTCTACAACCGGAAGCCACCATCTTGGATTTCAAAATGGCGTCAGACATTGATTTCTGGTACATATAAGTCATTCTGATTCCAAAAATACCCATATCGAATGACATTTGGCATTATTTCCCAGTTTTAGTATAACCTGAAGCCGCCATCTTGGATTTCAAAATGGCGGCAGACATTGATTTCCGGTCTCAAGACGTCACCCTGATTCCGGAAATACCCATTTTGAAAGGTATTTGACAGGTGTTTAAAGGTGTTTAAATTTTTTTTTATAACCGGAAGCCGCTATCTTGGATTTCAAGGTGGCGTTGGTTGACGATTTCCGATCTCCACGTCACACCGATTTTGGAAATACCCACATTGCGTAATACATCATTTGAATTCACAGTTTTTCTGTATTCAAAAACCGCTATTTCGACTTGACACTGCATAATATTATTCATCAAATACAATTTTTGTTTAGTTATCTGCCATCACTGGTAATTCTGAATAATGCGCACCACGCACATAAACACACAACAGTACCGGATCGGTTCTTGAATTCAAAACATCATCCTTGTGAACACAGAACACCGGTACTGGAAAATCAGAACCGCACCGTGTGCAGCGAACTGGTGAACACGGTGCGGTGTTACTTGCAACTACCAAACCGAACCGACAGCAGCATCATACGCTCGGTACAACAGATCAGCACATTGGTTATGCTTTAGAAAACCGTACCGGTGCTGTACCGGTGTTTTGCCCATCACTGCCGTACTCTAACGGAACTACCAACTCTATATTTTCATCTCCTCATCTATCGTATACCACTTTAGTCTGTTATTTGACATTAGCATCTTCAATTTATAACATGTTACAACCAAGGAGTAGGTCACTCCGCACACCAATCTTGGGTCAACTTTTGTGCCAACAGTGTGCCGCAAGTGTGCCGGTCATAGAGCGAGCTGCTATTGTTTGTAAAATACGTATGTTATGGTATATTTGGCAACCCGGTATTTCTGACAGCTTGAATGATTTGGTTTGCAATCGCAATGATAACATACACGAAACGAAAATCAATTATTGTATCCATGTGTTTCACTTATACATTTTTGCCAAAACATCAGCCTTATACATTCCATAAGACAAACCACATAGGTCCTATAAGAATGCATAAAAGGTATGTGTGACCGCTTATACATTTCATTTGACACATGATCTTCATTAAATTTTTGCAAGGCGGCTGCTTATTAGTAGACTTATACATTTTATGAATAATGAGCAATAGAAATTTTCCAAAAGGTATAAGGAGATTTCTATTCGTGTAGGTCTAGCGGCAACCAAGGAGGAATGCAATGTCGCAATTAAAAAGAAACATCGAAATATACTAGGAAGGGACAACCGCCGTCGGAAGTATGAAAAGCCTTTCGTGATGTGAAACGCTATGGTCTATCAGCGGCCGGAAAGTTTTGGAAGCTTGAGACCGAATATAGAGGATGAGTATGACTTCTGTAGTTTGTTTTGAGTGAGTTGCAGCATTATTTGAATTACAAATACTATTGATGTCTGAATAACTGTCTCTTACTCTAGAGGCCTTGCTGGAGCCTACGTTTTGAATTTAAATCTGTTTATAAATGAACCGAGAAGTGAACTGCTGGTCTGAGTTCCTCCGGTATATTCAATTAAAGATTGTTCCTAAAATATTCAGTCAAATAGCACGTTATGTTGTGAACAACTTCAATGACAGTTTCCCAGCATTGTCGTCGTGAGTATTCCTCCCCGTTCCACTTACTTTTGTCATTAGAGTCAGCCCCATCTGAAATTTTAGGCTGACAAAAACGGGAATCTGACAAAGTCGGATGTTTTTTTCAATAATTTTACCTTCAACATGATTTAAAAACCAAGATTAATCAGTATTGATCTACTACTAATAGATTTAATTATAAATAATTACTATTCTTATGAGGTTTACACGTAGCTTAGTATAAAAAGTATACTATCTTCAGTATATAGTTTAAACTTAACCCGATATGTTCGAGCATATTTTGACCAGTGTATTCTTTAGTAAACAATCATGGATAAATGGAACAGATGGCCGAAGTGTTGTATAGTTCAGTGCCAACATTTCAAAGGGGCGTAGTTGCATTTGTAAACAATGACTTTAGCCGTCGATTTCTCGCAAAAAAGCTCACTCATGAAAATTAATTACATCAACAGGTAGAGGAATGTTTCCTCTACCAGCTAGCATTGTTAATTTTGCGAGAAATCGATGGCTAAGCCATTGTTTACAAAAGCAATTACGCCCCTTTGGAATGTTGGCACT